GCGGCCCAGTCCTGCCCACGGGCCACGGTCTGCCCGCGGGCTCAACCGCATGCCTCCTCTCAGACCTACCAGTCGCTTGGGAGGGCCGGCTTCACCCCAGTCCCAGTTCCAAGGATGATAATAATGACATTTAATTTTAAACAATTAAAAAATGAGCCCTAGCCAGTTTGGCTCAGGGGTTAGGACATCGGCTCACAGACCAAAGGGTCGTGGGTTTGATTCCCGGTCAAGGGCACATGCCTGGGTTGCAGGCTTGATCCCTGAACTGGTTGCGTGCGGGAGGCAACCAATTGGTATGTCTCTCTTACATCGATCTCTCTCTCTCTTTCTCTCTCTCTCTTTCTCTCTCTTTTTAGAAAATGCAAGTTTCCTTCCTTCCTCCTTCTCTCCCTCCCACCCTCCCCTCCCTCTCCTCCTTCCCTTCCACTCTCTCTAAAAATCAATGGAAAAATACCCTCAGGTGAGGATTAACACAAAAGTGAGCAGAGGAGCTGAGCAGACATTTCTCTAAAGGAGACGCGGACGGGACAGGGCCGTGAAGGAAGCTCAGCATCGCTCATGGCAGGGAGTGCGAACCCAAACCACAGGAGATGTCACCGCACACCTGTGGATGGCTGTCAGCAGGAAGACAGGAACTGACGAGTGGGGGTCAGGGTGGCAGGAAGGACCCCTCGAGCACTGCAGGTGGGGGTGGAAGTCGGTGCAGCCATTATGCAAAGCAGCATGGGGTTTCCCCCAAAGTTAAAACTAGAGCCACCACATGATCCATAACCCACGTCTGGGATACGCCCGAAGGAAACCAAACCCCTGTCTGGAAGAGACAGCTGCTCTCCCTTGTTCACTGCAGCATTATAGTCACGACATGGAAACAACCTGAATGAATGAATGGACTTTAAAATATGACATATCTGTATCTGTGTAGTTCAGCCTCTAAAAGGGGGAAAATCCTGCCATTTGTGACAACATGCATGAAACCTGAGGCTATAATGCTCAGTGAAGTAAGACACGGAAAGAGAAATAATCTCACTTACATGTGGAATCTTTGAAGAAAAAAAAAAAGGCCAAACTCCTAGTTACCAGAAGCTGGGGTGTGTGTGTCGGGGAGCGGGGGGAGGGGGATTTAAATACAGGTATCCTTCAGAACTAGGGAATAAGTTGTAATCCTAACATGTTCCGAGCACTATTTTAGGCACTTAACGTGTAATTGCTCATTTCACCTTCAAAAGAATCCTACGAACTGGGTACTATTATTATCCCCATTTGCCAATAAAGAAACAGAGGCACAGAGAGGTTGGTTAACTGGCTCAAGGTCACACAGTTATCCAGTAGCAGAGTGGGATCTAGACCAGGGGTGGGCAAACTTTTTGACTCGAGGGCCACAATGGGTTCTTAAACTGGACCGGAGGGCCGGAACAAAAGCATGGATGGAGTGTTTGTGTGAACTAATATAAATTCAAAGTAAACATCATTACATAAAAGGGTATGGTCTTTTTTTTTTTTTAGTTTTATTCATTTCAAACGGGCCGGATTCGGCCCGCGGGCCGTAGTTTGCCCACGGCTGATCTAGACCCTCAGCAAAATAAGGGAGTTACACCCAGGAAAAGGTCCCGGCGTTTAGGGAAGCACCCCAAAAATAAATAAACGAAGCCTGGGCCCCTGGCTCCACATCCCCAAATGCCCTTTGCTCTGCACCCACGGGGGCTGTCTCCCCCCAAGCCCCGCCTCTGGGCAGGGCGGCAGGTGATTCTGCTTCTGCTTCTCCCTCCCAGAGAACGCAATCTTCTCATTCTTGGCAGGGGAGCAAGGGCCGGCCTGGCCTTCCTGACCCTGGAGTGGGGGGAGCATCCCAGGAGGCGACCCCCAGGGCACAGCTCCCCAGCATCGGTGCCTGGCCCCAGGGCAGAGCCCCCATCGAAGGACACTGCTCCTGCCCAGAGCAGGGCAGTGGCTGCAGGGGGGCCTGGCTGCTGCCTCCTCCCTGCTGCCCAGTCCCGCCAAGCTGCCGGCTACTGGGGCTTTTTCAGTTTTAAGTGAAATGTGTGTTAAGGGAGGAGGCCGGGCCGGCTGCAGGCACTGAGGTTCCCACTCGGGACGGGGCGGTGAGCCACCTCAGGCCTTTCCACGTCACGCTCCTCGGGACATTTCAGGCCAAAGTCAATGCCTGGCCGCCCTCCGAGCAGCTGGACGGCGTCCCTGAGGCTGGCGCCTGTCCTAGACGGGCTCCCCCCCAGGCTGACGGCGTCTCATCCGTGTCCCAGGCGGGGAAGCCCAGTGGCAGAGCGGCCGCCTTCCACCCGCAGCCTCAGGCCTCGGCCTGCTCGCCCTGGAATGAGCCTTACCGGAGCCTCACGACTCTAGAAGCACAAAACGTCCTGAAACATCTCTCGCTCATCGCTCTCTGTTTTTCAATAAACACAGTTAAATCACAGGGTGGCAGCGGCAGCAGTGGCTGCTGTCGCCAGAGCCTGCAGACTAGACAGTCCCCTGGCCTTTTCCCGCGTGAGGGCGAGACCGTCAGCGTGGGCTGGTGCTCTCGCCTTTCAGACGTGTGCAAGCCTCTGCACGAACCCTTGTCCTGTGCACATTTGGGCACTGACCGTGCAGGCTCACACGTACACATGCACTAGGTATGCAGACTCACACCTGTATGCATACATGTGTATGCAGGCTCATGTGTGTACACACAACAGGTGTACATGTTCGCACACAAGTATGCAGATTCACATGTACATGCACACGATAGACATGCAGACTCACATGTGTGCAGACATGCAAGACACCAGGTGTGCAGGTGCACACATGTATGCAGGCTCACGTGTGTACACACAACAGATATACACATTGACACATGCATGTACATGTGAGTGTGCAGGTTCACGTGTACACATGCACACCAGACATGCAGGCTCACACATGTGTGCACACTGGTGTGCAGGCTCACAGGTGTGCACACACATGCAAGGCACCAGGTGTGCACACACAGCCTCTCCTGGGCATCGCAGTGTGACTGTCAGGGAGCAGTGAGGAGCACTCCTCAGGCAGGAAGTCGGACACGTCCTCCTCAGGGGCCCTGTTCAAATTTCCGGCGCCGCACACGTTGTGACAGTCCACACAATGGCTTTCTAGTAATTATTACTCCTGACTCACAATTCTGCATGATGCAAACCCCGCGCTGCGCCCAGGTGTCCAATTACACGCCAGCGAGCCCTGGTGGGATTCTCTCGCGCCGGCACTCCCGCCTTTAACTCCTTTTACGGTCATTTCTCTTCCAAAACGCTTTTCGTTATTAGAAAACTCTGTTTGTTCTGCGTCTCCCCTGACCCCTTCGTATGTTCCGTTTGCTGGGGGATGAAGGGTAACAGGGAGCTCAGGGAAGCCCGCGGAGCCCCAACAGCCACCCAGCGTCTCTGATAAGGGGAAGCCGGGTGCCCTCGGGACCGTCTGCCTCTTTCTCTAATTAAAGCTGCTCTTACTCCACCACCGGCACTCAGGGCGGCTGTACAGCTGTCTGCTTCTCCCCATCTTTCCTTTGTGGCTGATACCGCTCTGCTTTTACCTCCTGCCATTTCCCGTCGCGGGCGTTCAGCGTCTCAGCGTGTCATGCATGAAAGGGGGGTTTTTCCTGACGAATCTGCACAGGAGAAAGGAGCCCTCCGGCTCCTACGTCCCTCGGGCAGCTCCAGGGTGTCCGTCCTCGCAGGCTCTGTGCAGCCGAGGTTTGGGGAGAGACTGCCGGTCACCTGGCCTGGGCAGGACCACCGAGCAGCAGCGGGGGCACCCAGGGCCCAGCACCCGGTGGCCTCGTCCAGGGAGCAGCCGGCCTCTCCCCCCCAGGTCTTCCCAGCAGCCTCTCGTGCCCACTGTGCTGTTTGGAGCCTGTTCTCTCCATAAACACGCGCTCTCGGAACCAGATTTGCAGCCTGCGAGGGAAGCAGCAATGGGCCGGCTGCCAAATTCACCACCTACTTCCCCCCCCAACTCGGCGTATCAACCCCAGCCTTTAATGTGCGAAAATCCCCACAAATATCATGTTTATGGAAATTACATCACCATGGCAACTGTAAAGGTCTCACAAGTATTTTTAAAATAGCAAATTGCCAGAACCCACTTAGAAAAACCTAAAATCTGTTTCCTTCTGGGCATTAGTGAGCATACGGGTGGCAACAAACACCGAGTGAGCTTCGTGAGGCGACGGCCGAAGTCAGGGACAAGGGCCCTGGCCCTGGCTTCACGGGACCGAGGGCTGAATCTGGGAAAGTGAAGTGTGACTCTGGTTTCTTTTCCTAAAAAGAGGTTGCACTTTAGATCTATTCTGGAAAACGACACCAAGCCCTTCTGGTGAGAGGACTGTGTAGAGACCTGCCTTGCTGACACACTGATCCCGTCCTTTCTAGCCCTCATCCCTGGCGTGACTGCCTTCCCCACTGCGGACAACCCCATGGTTAACTCAGGCTTCAGCAGCTGCATCAGCTCCTGCCGCTGTGACTTAGCCCCGCGGGCTCTCTACTCACAAAACCCGCGTCTCAGAGGCTGCGCACAAATCCCACAGGAGGGGCGGCCGGGCGCGGCCTGTCCAGCTGGAACGTGTGCGCTTCTCAAAGTGTCGCCGGGATGGCACCAAAGGGGGTCCTTTGGCGTCGATGCTGCACTGATGGTTGGCGTCTTTCGTAAAGACGAAACGCACTGGGCGTATTTTGATGACTCTTCTCACAACAAGAAGTCATTGGGGCTTTTCCAACTCAAACAGCGAGGGTCTTGTTGCGAGTGGAAGAAGATCAAACTGTGAATAGACCGTTTTATTCTCTAGCTGGTCTCCATCTTCATAGAGCAGTGATGGCGAACCTATGACACGCGTGTCAGAGGTGACACGTGAACTCATTTTTTTGATTGATTTTTCTTTGTTAAATGGCAGTTAAATATATAAAATAAATATCAAAAATATAAGTCTTTGTTTTACTATGGTTGCAAATATCAAAAAATTTCTATATGTGACATGGCACCAGAGTTAAGTTAGGGTTTTTCAAAATGCTGACACGCCGAGCTCAAAAGGTTCGCCATCACTGTCATGGGGGGGGGGGGGGGGGGGGAGCAGAAGGAAATGAAGGACAAAGAGCAAAATGGTGGGTCCTAGGGAGTGGCAAGTGCCGGGACTGGGATGGGGGTTTGCTTTCAATGTCCTTTCAGCGCAGGAAGAGTAAGGAGGACACAGGCCGGCAGGTGTTCCATCTTCCAAAATGACCAGGAAGATGGAAACATATCCCGTAGTCGCTTGAGAATGGCAAGCTGGGCCTAGAAGCTCGGCCGGTCTGTGGACGCACGTGAGGGGAAGGGGACAGGTGGACTGAGCCATGAGCAGGTAAGAAAAGACAGGGCTCCGGGGTGAAGGAGGGCAGTGGCTCCTGGGGCCACAAAGCTGCCGGGGATCTGGGCTTCCCGTGGTCAGGGCTGGGGAGTGTGCGGGGCAGGTGGGCAGATGCGAGATCTCTGGGCCAAGCACAGGGGCCAGAGCTGCCCAGGGAGGGGCTGAGGCTGGTGCCTGCGTTAAGCAAGAACATGGAAACCCATAAAGGAAGTCGCAGGAGGAAGAGTTGCCGTTGGGGCCCTTGGAGCTCAGCATGCCTGCAGCCCCCGCCCCGGCCCCCTCGGTGGGAGCGTGGCATCTCACGAGGAGAGCCATTTGGAAGCTGGACGCCCACGCTCGGCAGCCGGCAGGCGCTCTGGCTCCTGTGCTGGCTGTTCCAGAGCTTCCAGGAGGAAGACGTTAGAAACCAACCTCTTTAGGAAAACTAGGGGGGCATGGGGTGGGGGTGGGAGGCAACAGTGCTTCCAGGGGGTGGTCAGGGTCCCACGCCCAGTTAGGGCGCCAGAAACAAACATCTCTGTGCCAGTGGGCGTCCCTGCAGGAAACAGAGGCCTGAGGCCCGGGCCTGCTGAAGGGACTATTCACAGAGGCCCAGGAGGGACCAGGGAGGCCACGGGAGATGAGATGCTGAGGATTAGAAGCAGCGGAGGCCATTTCCACCCCTGGGCCTGAAGGGGAAGGGAGAGGGAAGGGTACACTGTCTTAGTCTGGAGAGGGCTGGGGTGGAGGGAGGACTGCAGGACGGAGGCCATGGTCGTGGTCAGGGCTGGAGGAGCCAACACCCAACCTCTCTCCTCCCTTCTTCCATCCCGGCCTGTGCCTCCCACTGGTCAGCACACGGGGAGCAGGTGAGGCAGGCCAGGGCGGGTGGAGAATGGATGGAGGAGGGCGGGGAGCAACGGGGGCGAAGGCTTCCTCTCCTGCCACCTCTGCAAGCACAGGTCTCCCTCCTTCAGACCTGAGAGCATGAGCTCAGCTTGGAGCAGAGCTCCCGTTCACTTCCTGACTTAAAGGCACACGGTACATAGAATCCTGTTGCTTTTACAACATCCGCTCAAACCCGGAGGCAGGAACGATAACCACCCGGGCTCCAGGTGGGTACAAAGTGGAGCTCGGACAGAGACAGAGAGCGCCACTGAGCCAAGGGTGCCGTGAGGACAGCGCGGGAATGAGAAGCCGGGGACTGGCCACAGCCCGCAGCCCCAGCCCGGCAGAGCCCGCTCTCCTCCCCAGCGCACTCTCTCTTAGTCAGCAGTTTCCTGGGGTCCTGCTGAGTGCTCTGCACTGGCCCACACACTAGGGGGAGACACAGAGAAGGTGTAGTTGAAGAGGTAAGACTAACCCACATGATGAACGAAAATCCAAAATTAGACTGGTAGGTAGACCAGATAACCCAAAAGAGGAGACACTTGATTTCAATGCATCTTGATTTCATCATTGCACCCCTTACCCCCTAGCTGGTATTGTCTTCAGACTTATGTTAAGAATCAAGTGTGGCCCTGACCAGTTTGGCTCAGTGTATAGAGCGTTGGCCCGGAGACTGAGGGGTCCTGGGTTCGATTCTGGTCCAGGGCATGTACTTTGGTTGTGGGCTCCATCCCCAGTGGGAGGTGTGCAGGAGGCAGCTGATACATGTTTCTCTCTCATCGGTGTTTCTAACTCTCTATTCCTCTCCCTTCTTCCCTGTAAAATCGATAAAATATATTGTAAAAATTAAAAAGAATCAAGTGTGTTTCCCCTCATGATTGGTGGTTGTGCCGATCCCCTGTTGTCTGGGCGTGGTGGGTGGGGAACCCCACGCAGAATATGAAATGATGTCTCTCCAAACAGCACTGGGGAGACATCAATGCTCCCCCGACCCCTGGACTGTGCTTCGGTCGATCGCCAAGCATCCTGACACAGGGCAGACCCAGCTCTAAACCTGCACCAGGAGATCAAGAACATTCCGCGACACCGGCTGCACCGGGCTTAGGTGAGAAGCTATAGGGGGAGTAAAACGCACAGCAGTCTTGCCCAAGAGTGGGCCCAAGCAATCAGGTATCTGACCAAAGCTGTGGCTTGGCTTGGCTTTCCTTTCGCCCCGATCACTTCCCAAGGCCCTCTTCTCAGGATGTATTAGACTCAGAGTCTGGCCTCGGCACTGAAGCCCAAGACCAGCCAACACTTCCGGTCAAGCCCAACCTGCATGGTTCGGTGCATCCTCTGCTGCCCCCCTTTCTTTCTTCAGCCTTAAAACCCCACTTATTTGGGCCTAAGAGGGTAATGTTTTTGTTTGTTCCCTTCTGAGTCAGGTCACAGAAAGATTCCAGTTGTGTGTTCAGCTCACATGACCCCTCAGAGTAGCCAAGGTTCAGAGGCAGCGAGGCCATGCCTTCCTGGGATGGCGAGGTCACTGGCTGTTGGTTTGAGGTCCATGAATGCTTCTTGGACTCCATCCTGACATGTCAAAAAGAGGAATGACCAAGAAGAGAAAGAATTCTCCAAATAGCTCTGTAGCACTGGGATCTGGTCCAGCTCTGGCCGAAGCATTTACATTCCTGGTCGGCCCCCAAGGACGGCTACCAATGCAGCCCGTTCAGTTCCAACCAGCCCCTGCCAGGAACCTAGCTGTGGGCACTGGCCCCAGCTTTCTGGGAAACTCACTTTCGTAATAATCGAGCCTGCACTGTGGAGTCGAGGGACAGCTGACACCCAAAGGCTGCGATGAGCGTTGGTGCGACCATGGGCTTTTAACAGCAGGGATCCCTGGGCAACCTCTCTGGAGGGTCTGGGATCTGCGAGCCAACGCCACCTGTACCTTGACTTCCTTCCTGTGGCTCCAGGT